GCTGCAGCGCTCTGATTGGCTGTTTCCATTCAGGTGCAAGTATATAAGGAGCTGTCAAAGTGCTGACAGCTGCTGCTCCTGTTAGCCGAGCAGCCACATTAGCCGCAATGCTAGCGAACCTGTTTAAATCATGTTAGCAAAATAAACCTGTAAACTTTTAGCTCAACCTATCTTGCCTCAGTCTGTTCATCCCTAACAGGGACATAACATTAACATCCCTGATAACCAAGATGGGGTGATCACTGAGCTCGAGCCAGACATCCTAGAATGTGAAGGGAAATGGGCCTTAGGAAATCTGAGCAACAACAAAGCTAGTGGAGGTGACAGTATTCCAGCTGAGCTATTCAAAATCTTAAAAGACGATGTAGTAAAAGTGCTACACTCAATCTGAAAGGCAATGCCAAAGAATGTTCAAACTATCGCACCACTGCACTCATATGACATACTAATAAAGTTATGCTCAAAATCCTACAAGCTAGGCTCCAGCAGTACGTGGATCGAGAACTACCAGAAGTACAGGCAGGATTTCGAAGAGGCAGAGGAACTATGATCAAATTGCCAACATACGCTGGATCATGGAGAAAGCTAGGGAGTTCCAGAAAAACATCTACTTCTGCTTCATTGACTATGCTAAAGCCTTTGATTGTGTGGATCACAACAAATTGTGGCAAGTTCTTAAAGAGATAGGAGTATCAGACCATCTTATTTGTCTCTTGAGAAATCTATAAGTGGGTCAAGATGCAACAGTGAGAACTGGACATGGGACCACTGATCAGTTCAAAATTGGGAAAGGAGTCCGGCAAATGCTGTCGCCTTGCCTATTTAACTTATATGCAGAGCACATCATGAGAAAGGTGGAGCTACATGAATCAAAAGTTGGAATTAAGTTTGCCGGGAGAAATATCAACAACCTCAGATATGCAGATGATACCACTCTAAGGGCAGAAAGTGAAGAGGAACTAAAGAGCCTCTTGATGTGCATGAAGAAGGAGAGTGCAAAAGTTGGCTTGAAGCTCAACATTAAGAAAACTAAGATCATGGCATCCAGCCCTCTCAATTCCTGGCAAATAGATGGGGAAGAAATGGAGGTAATGACAGATTTTATTTTCCTGGGCTCCAAGATCACCACAGATGGGGACTACAGCTAAGAAATTAAAAGACGCTTGCTCCTGAGGAGGAAAGCTATGGCAAATCTAGATAGCTTACTAAAAAGCAGAGACATTACCCTGCCAACAAAAGTGCATATAGTCAAGGCTATGGTTTTCCCAGTTGCAATGTATGACTGTGAAAGTTGGACCATAAGGGCGGCTTACAATGCATTGTAAGCCGCCCTGAGTCTCTGGAGAAGGGCGGCATATCAATCAAACAAACAAACAAACAAACAAACAAACAAACAAACAAACAAACAAACAACAAACAAGAAAGGCTGAGTGCCAAAGAATTGAGGCCTTTGAACTATGGTGCTGGAGAAGACTCCTGCGAGTCCCTTGGACTGCAAGGCGATCAAACCGGTCAGTTCTAGAGGAGATCAACCCTGACTGCTCTTTAGAAGGCCAGATCCTGAAGATGAAACTCAAATACTTTGGCCACCTACTGAGAAGGAAGGACTCACTGGAGAAGAACCTAATGCTGGGAAAGATTGAAGGCAAAAGAAGAATGGGACGACAGAGAACGAGGTAGCTGGATGGAGTCACAGAAGCAATAGGCATGAGTTTAAATCAGTGGGTCTCAACCATCCTAATGCCGTGTCCCTTTAATACAGTTCCTCATGTTGTGGTGACCCCCAACCATAAAATTATTCCTAAAACCATTGAAAATATGTGTTTTCCAATGGTCTTAGGCGACCCTTGTGAAAGGATTGTTCGACCCCCAAAGGTGTCCCGACCCACAGGTTGAGAACCACTGGCTTAAATGGACTCCAGAGGATGGTAGAGGACAGGAAGGCCTGGAGGAACATTGTCCATGGGGTCGCGATGGGTTGGATATGACTTCGCAACTAACAACAACAACATAATGATTTTTATTTCTATAAATTTCATACACATTTGCTGCATGTAATTTAATATATATTATATAATTATAATATTATAGTATATTCTTTGTAAAAGACTTGTGATTGTAATACATTTTATTTAGTGCAACATTTCCAAATATTCTCTTGGTTGGACAAATTTTTAAGAATAGAATTAAATATGCAAACAGATTCTCTTCACTACTGCCATCTGTCCTGTGATGAAATCTATTTTGGTATATTGCACCATTTTGTTTCTGACAGAATCTCTGATTAATTTATCTTATATTTTTATCACTGTTCCTCCTGTCAGGCCTCCTTTTTCACATATCTAGATTAGTGTGAATGCTTTAGGGACATATTTGATATTTCTATTTTTTGTCATATAAGAATCAAAGCAAATCTCTGCAGCTGGAATTTTATAACACAGTTTCAAAGAGTAGAAATAAAAATTGCACTGCACTTTTAAACTGATAAGTAAACATTTAAAACAAAGATGTTGTCATTTGCTTAAATCACTATAATTAAGCACATTTTCCAATTTTATTAAGGAACATTGGAAAAATAGTCAAACATCTTTTCTATGGAGTATGGTTCTGAATCCTAACCTTACATGCTCAAAGATACAGTGTCCTTAATTTGACAAAAGTGTTTGCTATTTGATGGATATCTGCAAATATGTTTAAAATATGTGTTTGCTTTAGATAATTGCAATCTAGTTATACAGGAGCTATTGGGTGTAATCAATTGCTCTCAGGAAAAAAGCAGAGATGATTTTAAAAGAAGACAGATAAAGTGTTTGGATAACACAAGTATATCTGAATATGTATAACCTACCATATTTTTCAGAGTATAAGACGCAACTTTTTTCCCCCAAAGAGGGTGAAAATCTGGATGTGTCTTATACACCGAATGTAGCCCCGCCCATCCACCAGCCCCCGCCCTTCAGATGTTTTTGGCCCCCGTGCATCACGTTTTCGGGTGGTTCTAGGTAGGGGGGGTGATCAGGGATGATTTTCATGGGGACAGAAGAGGGATTTGGCACCAAAGGCTCCACTCCCGAGACACCCCATCTTCCTACCTATAGCAAGCCCCTGTGCCTTTGCTGCCTCGATCGGAGCCTGATTCTGCAAACAGCCTGGGAAGCACGAAGGTTGGAACTCGTTTGGTGAAGCGGGTGCTTCTGCGTGAGAGGCATAAGCCAGGGTGGCACACTGCCCGGCCTGCCCCTTCTCCAGATGATTCAGGCGGAGGGCGGTCGGCTTCTGCTCCTGGCCTGGGAGACAGATCTGACCAGGAGGAAAGAGAAGGTGAGTCTGTGGAGAAGGAGGAGGAGGGCGTGCAGCTCTGCTAATTGCATCGGGGAATTGGGGAGGAAAAAGAGCATCGCCTCCATGCATCGCGTTTCCCAGCGGGAAACTTCTCATGCAGAAGCACCCCTTTGTCAAATGAGTCCTGACATTTGCGTTTCCCAGGCCGCTTGCAGAATCAGGCTCTGACTGAGGCAGCAAAGGCACAGAGACTTGCCAGGAAGCCCAGCACCGTGTTTACGAGATGGCAGAGTCCAGGAGGACTGAAATGCTGAATCTCTATCAGGCCTTGCTGCAAGAAAGCCAGGCTTTCAATGCACTTCCTGGGCCACTTGCAGAATCAGGCTCCGACTGAGGCAGCAAAGGTGCAGGGGCTTGCTGGGAAGCCCAGCACCATGTTTACGAGATGGCAGTGTCCAGGAAGACTGAAGTGCTGCGTCTCTATTGGGCCTTGCTGCGAGAAAGCCAGGCTTTCAACGCCTACAGCTATAGGTAGGAAGACAGGGGCATCTTGGGAGTGGAGCCTTTGGTGACAAGTCCCTCTTCTGCCCCCATGAAAATCATCACCCACCCCACCCCCTCCAGTTAAATGCGTGTAGAGTTATAGGGTTTGTTTTAAATGGATAAAAAGATCTGTGCTACTCATTACCAAAATCTGAATGGAAGTAAGGACACTGCTGATCCTGATGCTAGTAGGCAGAGGTAGAATTCTTTTTTTCTTGTTTTCCTCCCCAAAAATTAAGGTGCGTCTTATAGTCCGGTGCGTCTTACAGTCTGAAAAATATGGTACTTTAAATTTTATGAACAGTGAATGTTAATACTGATATTATTTGTTCATAAATTCATAAAATCCAAGGCATTTATTCCATTATGGTACAATTACTGCACAGAAAGTCATAGAATGATTTCTATGAATCCCCAGTTCACTTTTTTGAACATTTTAAATATTCTAGGTTGAAATATCTAGGTCAGGGGTGTCAAACCCAAGGCCCGGGGACCAGATCCGGCCCACAGGGTACTTAGATCTGGCCCATGGGGCCACCCTGGAAACAGCAAAGGACCAGCCCACTGTGCTTCTGCCAGAGAAAATGGGCTCCCAAGCTCCATTTTTGGCTGCCACAGCCTCCTGCAATCCTCTGCCAGTGAAAACAGAGCTTGGGAGTTCCCTTTTCACTGGCAGAGGGTTGCAGGAGGCTGTGGCAACCAAAAACAGAGCTCAGGAGCCTGTTTTCGCTGGCAAAGCACTCTGGCCACCACAGGCTCCCAACAGAAGTGACGTCGAGCTTGCCACGCCCCTGGCCATGCCCCCTCTCACAGTCAAACACAACCCTGATGTGGCCCTCAATGAAATCAAGTTTGACACCCCTGATCTAAGCAGTTAAAACAACTGAGTACAATATTGTTACATTGTTCTTCCTTCAGCAGATTTTTCCCCCCAAAGCACAATCCAAACACTACATGTGAGGACAAAGATCATACTTGATTGTGGGACGAGACATCTCAGTAAAGATGTTGGAGATGACTTCTTCCCAAAGCCTTATCTAGTAATTGGATAAACTCTACAGCCAGCATGTCAAGTGTAAATGCCTCGCTTTATATAGACTAAAGCTATATCATAAGATAAGCAAGGGTTAATATACATTCTCCTCTCTCTAAATCAATGATAGGTCAATACTTACCGTTAGCCCCGCCCATCCTGTATATAAGAACACCTCCAACTGTCATAACTGCTCTTTCTGAATGTATTCTGTGAAAGTAAGTAACATATATTAATAAATGTATTTATTTAATTATAATGAGCCTATGTCTATTAAATGAGCCATATCTTCAATATTAGTGACAAATTGGTAGCAAGAGGATGGTTAAATGGCTCAATAAGAAAATAGACATATAAAAGATAAATTCTTCAAATGAAGAAAAAGAAGCAGAGATAAAGCCATCTCTGTTCAAAAAGCCTCAAACTGAAAAACGACAAGAAAAAATATAAAGTACATGATGGAAGATGAAGAAACAATTCATAGCCTAAACAAACAAAAAATGAATAGGAGTAAAAATAATAGCCTAAGGCTGAAAATACTGAATTTAATAAAATCAAAAAATGATGATGAAGACCTCACTGTGGACCTCCAAGAAATAATAAAAAATAATGGAGCAGTGGGAGGAGATTATAACAATACACAAAATACAGCAAACTATGAAACAGAAAAAGATCTACTCCAAACTGACATTCTAACTGAAACTAACAGTCCTGTAAAAAAAACTTGAATGGCAGCCATCTTCAAAAAATCAGCCCGACAAAATGGATGACCTATCACCATCGAGAAACAAAATTCCAAAATGGACGACGCAGGAAATTTATTACAATAAAAAATTTCAAAATGAACAAAATTGGTCTGAAGGATCAGATTCTGAATCAGAAAACCTTCCCATTGAATTGCAAATTGAAGAGGCTATAAAAACCCTCTTCGACGCTTTCGGACCTGAACTAAGCATATCTAAGGGGTCTAAAAAATCATCTAAAGAAAAGAAAAAGGAACAAACAACAAACCAATCAAAAGAAAGAGAACCTAAAGAAAAAATAAAAACACCTCAATACATCTCAGAATCCACCCCCTATCAACTACCAGAACCGCGCATACCAGAACCCAGAGGTAACTGTAAATACTCACCTACACCACAAACGTTCCTGAGAGACCGAAATCTGCATCCAGACGACATCGAGGCAGAAGGAGTGTCTTCAGCATGATGGTGGACCCTCGGGAGCGAAATTGAGGCCGGCCCATCCAACGGAGACCACTACGAGGGAGCTGCAACAACGAGGTCCTTCTCCGAAGCCTTCAGGAACAAAATGAGCTTCGCGCATGCGCAAACGTCACTAGAAGCAAGTGAATACAGAGTGAACCTCCCAAGCTAATTGTGAGTATCCCTGTGCCTTTTTGCTGTTACCAGCATCTTCAGCACCACGGACAAACGTCTGCTGTAAGTAACATAGCTAACAACACAGGAAATTTGCCAAATGATTTTCCAAAGCTAAGGATGGATGGAATTAATTTATTGGAATGGATCCAACAGCTTCAAGTTGTCTTTCTAAAAGAAAATTTACTGTTTTTTATTACTGATCCACCTAAAAAACCATGGACACTAGAAATTGACAATTTACACCACAGAGCATTCTATCTATTAATTTCTAGTATCTCACCAACTATATATCATAGTGTAAAACATAATTTGACTGTATCTGAACTTGTACAAAGTATGTTTAAACTATTCCATAGTGAAAGTGTAGCAACAACTACAAAAATATCCAAAAAATTCTTTTCTGCTAGAGTTAAGCCTGGTATCACCATAAGTGAACATCTATTGTCATTGAATGCAACTAGAGCTGAGCTACATACGAGGGAGGAAATTGTGTCAGACCAAACTATGAAAAGTGTTATTATTAATTCTTTAGATCCATCATGGGACAATTTCATATCACACTTAGACACACTAAACTTAGGATATTTATCTATTGAAAATCTATCCAATAGATTAATTGCAGAAGATAACTTGAGAAAAAGTCGTAGTAGAGAACAAAGGCCTATAAATAGAGTGGTATTTCAAGACAAAAGACAAAACACCATGGAGTGTTATAATTGTGGATCCACGGGACACTATAAGAGGGATTGCCCTAAAATTCAAAGAGAGAATTATAAATACGACCCCAGAAATAGATATGATGATAGACAATACTTAGGGGATAGGTACAGGCGTAGGAGTTCCCCAAGTCCAAAAGACATGAATAGACGTAGAGATGACTCCAGGGATAACAAACATAGATCATTATATGGGATAGAAAAACAAACAAAAACAATGAATCAGAACATGACAGACTACATGTGGCTCATTGATTCTGGAGCCACCAATCATACAACCAATAATAAGGAACTTCTATCATCCTTCACTGAAGAATTTTTTTTAATAAAAGTAGCCAACCAAAATGAAGTACAAGTAACAGGAAAAGGGAATATAAATCTACCAGGGATAGGGAGAATAGAGGGGGTACTATTAATACCAATGATGCCTCACAACATACTCAGCGCTATCAAACTCAGTAAGGAATCAGACATAAAAATAACATTCAAAGGAGGGAAAATTATATTAGAAAAAGACAAAGAAATCATAGGCAGAATTGTAATCAAAAGGGGTTTACCTTACTTATGCACAGATGATAATGAGTCTCACAGTGTAAACAGAAACATAGAGCAAGACACAGATATAGTAATAAAGGAAGACAAAATCAACTCAAGACACATTAATAAAGACAAGTCAATACATGATATCACATCCAGGAAACCCTTAATAGGAAAGCCTATACATGATGATTATGCCCATATGCTACACAGAAAATTGGGGCATGCCAGTTTTCCTGTTGTCCAAAAAATGACTGAACATGCAGAAGGTGTTAAAATAAATGATTGTGAAAATTATTTGGAATGTTCAGTGTGTAAATGCTCAAAACTAAAAACAAAATCAAGACCAAAAAAGGCATCTAGAACTACCAGTCATATTTTCAATTTGGTACATATGGATTTAGTAGGGCCATTAACACCATCAATAAAATACAAAAAACGATTCTTCCTTACTATCGTAGACGACTACAGTCGTTACGACTTTGTATATACCCTAAGGCACAAAAGTGAAACATTTCAAAACTTCAAAGAATTCCATAAAATGGTAGAGACACAACATAACATACAGATAAAACAAATTATGACAGACAGAGGTTCAGAATTCATGTCAAAAGAATTCACACATTGGCTTAGGTCAAAGGGAATGTTACACTTCAAATCAAGTCCGTTCTCAGCCTTTCAAAATGGTGTTACAGAACGACAAAATTCTACTCTACAAACCATGATTAGATGTTTTTTGGAGGATGCAGGGATAGGTAGACATTTCTGGACAGAAGCGCTTGTAAACTCTAATTACACAATTAACCGGCTTTGATCTAGACAAGACTCCATATGAAATAATTTATAATAAGAAGCCACAGATAGCACATCTGCATGTGTTTGGAGTCACTGCTGATGTACATATTCCAAAACAATTAAGACGTAAAGGAGACAAAATATCTAGAAGACTAAGGTTCATGGGTTATGAACCAGGTACTAAAGGATACAAATTCATAGATAGTAATAACAACTTCATAGTATCCAGAACTGCGGTATTTCATGAACAGGCAAACTGGTCCAAAATACATCTTAACGAGATAAGAAAAAATATAGAGACAAAACACAATAAACTAGATATATCAGAAAATGGAAAAGATTCATACATACATCATAGAAATAACAAAAGGAAATGTAAAAAAGATTATAATAAAATCAAGATAGATTCACTCACTCAGAGAGAAGCAAAACACTTACATGATATTAACAGCATTCCAGATAGACCAATTAGAAATAATAGAAAACAATTGCCAAATAAATTTAAAGATTATGTAATGCATGTACAATCCAACACAATTACACCAAACAACTATGATGACGTATTGAAACTACCACAAGAAGAAAGAATTAAATGGGAATTAGCTATGTCCAAAGAAATGAACAATCTAAAAGAATTAAATGTGTTTACACCTGCTGACGTGCCAAAAAATAAAACACCCATAGGTACTAGGTGGATTTTTAAAATCAAAACACTAGAAGGAGGAAAGAACTTATACAAAGCAAGACTGGTAGCCCAGGGATTCTCCCAGAAGTACCCTGAGGATTATACCGATACTTATTCTTCTACTGTAAGAATAGAAAGCGTAAAAATAGCATTAGTGACAGCTTCAATACTAAAACTAGAGGTTTATCAATATGACGTACAAACCGCATACTTACAGCAAATTTAGACAAGGAAATTTATGTAAGGGCACCACACAGTAAAGATACTAACAAAAATGACACATGGTTGCTCAATAAAAGTTTATACAGTTTAAAACAATCGGGAAAACGATGGTATGAATGCTTAGTCGAAGTACTCAAAGGATTTACAGCAACATCAGCAGATAGCTGTTTCTTTATTAGAAAGGAGAATGAATCACTAGAATACGTATTAATTTATGTAGATGATATTCTGTATATTGGCAAGGACATAGATAAACGAAATGCATTTGCTATTGCAATAGAGAAACATTTCTCACTAAAGTCTCTGGGTAAAATAAATAAATATTTAGGGGTTCAAGTATATAAAACAGAAAAGGGCTTCTGTCTATCACAAAAAGAAAAAATTGTTGAACTTTTACATAAATGTAATATGATTAATGCTAAAGGCTGTGAAACTCCTATGCAAACTGACTTTCTAAAAAGTATGAACGATCCATTTCCTGATTTTAAAGATAACACATTGTACAGGTCAATCATTGGTTCTATACATCGTGAATTGGACCAGACCAGATATTGCATTGCCTCTCAACTTATTATCAAGACAAGTAAGCAAACCTACGACCTTCCATTAGGAAGCAGTAAAGAAAGTACTCAGATATCTAAAAAACAGCGTGGATTTTTGTCTATATTTAGAACCAGACTCTTTCAAAATACCCACACTCAATTGCTATACGGATGCTGATTGGGCAGGAGACACAAAAACTAGAAAGAGTACATCTGGATACATATTCTTTCTCAATAACTGTCCAATTTGTTGGTATACAGGTAAACAAGACTTAGTAGCAACTTCAACAACCGAAGCTGAATATATTTGCCTTTCCAAGGCTTCAAATAACCTTGTTTGGATCAATGACTTAATAACCAATATCTGGATGAACCCGTCTTTACCAATAATTATACATGAGGATAACAAGGCAGTAATTGAGATATCAAGATCAGATGCCATTGGACAAAGATCTAACTTATAGATATAAAGAATAAACATGTAAGACAGCTTTCTAAAGATGGCTTCATTAAAACAATACATTGTGATACGAAAGACCAAATAGCTGACATATTAACAAAACCTTTACAGGTTAAACAACATGCATTTTTAGTAGAAAAGTTATGTGTTAAGATGTATTCTATTCCTAAATATTTTATTGATAATAATAATGCTCGGCATTTAGAGGGGGATTTGTCAAGTGTAAATGCCTCGCTTTATATAAACTAAAGCTATATCATAAGATAAGCAAGGGTTAATATACATTCTCCTCCCTCTAAATCAATGATAGGTCAATACTTACCGTTAGCCCCGCCCATCCTGTATATAAGACCACCTCCAACTGTCATAACTGCTCTTTCTGAATGTATTCTGTGAAAGTAAGTAACATATATTAATAAATGAATTTATTTAATTATAATGAGCCTATGTCTATTAAATGAACCATATCTTCAAAATTAGTGACAAGAACTCCTGTATGAGAATGTGTGAGATAATCCATTGGAATATTATGAGGCATATTCAGAGAAACAAATGGCATTGTTATTTTTAGATGTTCAGAAAGCATTTGACAATGTGAATTGGCAATTTATGATTTTACAATTACAAAAGATGGACTTTGGGGACAGATTTATCAATATGGTTAAGACTATATATAAAGACCAATCGGCTAAAGTAATAATAAATGGTGAAATGACAGAGAAAGTAGATATAAGAAAAGGAGCCAGACAAGGATGTCCATTATCTCCACTATTATTTATTCTGACCTTAGAAATTTTAAACAGGAAAATAAGACAAGACAAAGAAATAAAAGGGATGAGAATTAAAAAAGAAGAGTATAAGGAACAAGCATTTGTGGATGATTTAGTATTCATTATGGAAGAACTAACAGAAATGGATCCAAAGTTAATTGAGCAAATAGAGGAATATGGAAAAGTAGCTGGATTGAAAATAAATAAAGATAAAACAAAGATTATAGTTAAAAATATGAGAGAAAACAAAAGAAACAATTAATGGAGAAGTTAGATATTCAAATAGTGAAAAAAGTGAAATATTTGGGTTTCCAATGAACTTCAAGATGTATTACAGTGAAGAAAGATAACTATTATAAATTAAGAAATCAAATTGAAATAGTTTTGGAAAAATGGAAAAAATTACAATTATCTTTAATGGGGGAATTCATTTAATCAAAATGAATGTATTGTCAAGATTGTTGTTTCTTTTTCAAACAATTCCGATAAAGTTGGAGGAAAAATACTTTGAAAGTTTGAATAAAATGATCTGGAAATACATATGGCAAGGGAAAAAAGTGAGAATTAACCTTAAATTGCTTCAAGACTCCAGGTTTAGAGGAGGATTTGGTCTACCAAATTGGGAATTGTATCATCAAGCAGCGATGTTAACTTGGATTAAAGAATGGATCTTATTGAGAAATACAAGACTATTGATTTTGGAAGCACATGACCTACAACTAGGATGGCATGCTTTCTTATGGTATGGAAAAAATTGGATTCACGGATATTTCCAGAGACATTGTGTAAGGAATGGCTTGTTGGTAGTATGGGAAAGAGTGAAAGAAAAACATTATATGGAAGTACCAATGTGGCTTTCAACAATAGAAGCGTTGACACATCCAAATATGATTAACATGGACAAGATTGTAAGATATAAAGACATTTTAACAGAGAAGGGAGAATTAAAACAGAAACAAGACTTAGAAAAACAAGGGATTGAGACTGACTGGTATACACAGCTGCAAATACAATCAAAATATGATAAAGACTTGAAACAATATGGTTTTAATTTGGGGGAATCAGAGTTGGATCAGATAATGATTGGAAAGGATGAAAAAATGATTAAAAGACTGTATAATTATTTGTTGCAAATTAGATTGGAAGATGAAGAGGTAAAAGAGACAATGATAACATGGGCGAAAAATTTTGGATATGCAACAGAATTAGAATAGAATAGATATGCAACAACTATGAGAAAGGAATTATAAATTGACAATGGCAACTGCATATAAAGAACATCTATATAAAATGTTTATAGGTGGCATATGCCACCAGAAAGATTAGCAAAGATGTTTAAGGATAAATCAGCCAAATGTTGGAAATGTTTGCATTTGCCGGGATCATACTATCATATGTGGTGGTCATGTTTAGAAGCAAAAAATTATTGGTCTAGCATACAGAAATGGTTGGAGGAAATATTACATAAATCTATAGAATTAAAACCAGAGTTTTTTTTGTTGGGTATTCTCCCAGAGAGATATAGTAAAGAAGATGTGTATTTAACTATACATATAATAACAGCAGCAAGAATTGTGTTTGCACAAAATTGGAAGACAGAAAAAATTCCGTCAGAAGGTGAAGTAATAAAAAAGATCTTAGACTGTGTGGAAATGAATAGATTAACTCCAAGAATAAGAGATAAAGAGGAATCAGTGTATTTCAAGACATGGGGAAGATTTTATATATGGTTAGAAAAGAAATATGAAGATAAGAGGAGTCCAAACAACTAATTCCAATTGATCATAATAAGAAAAATAATAAAAGTAGAAATGCACAAAAAAACCAACAGAAATAAACCTTAAGAAAAAACTGACGTCAGAGAAATCTAACTCAAATCTCTTCAGCTAGACTGAGTGAAAAGACTGTTTCACTCAGGAAAAAAATGCTTACACTCAGTGTCTAGCAAAGCAAGAAGTGAATACCCATGCATGGATTGTCGGAGCAGCAAGACTGGAAAACAGTGTATTTCAAGACATGGAGAAGATTTTATATATGGTTAGAAAAGAAATATGAAGATAAGAGGATAGATAAATGATTTGGATAATAGAAAGTTAAACAAGAGACAGGATAAAAAAGAAATAGAAACCCAGATGACACCAGAGTAAATGAAAAAGGGGGATGGGAGGGGGGAAAAGAAAGAAGATAATAAAAATAAGTGTACAATTATGATAACAATACTGATAGAATAAATCTGAAAAGAAATTGTAAGAAAGTATATACTATTAGAATACAGGAGTTGTTCGGATACCAAACAAGGAGAATATTCCATAGCAAAGAAGATAGAAATGAGAGAGAAGAGGGTAGGAAGAGGAGAGGGAGGGGGAGGAATGGAAGAAAGGGAAAAGGAAAGGAAGGAAGGGTAGGGGATAGGAGTAGGAGAAAAGGTGAGTAGGGGGAAAAGAAAGGAGTGGGGGAAAGGAAAGGGAAGTAGGATGAGGTAGGAGAGGAGGGAAGAGAAAGTAGGAGAGGAGTGGAGGGAGGGAAGGGAAAGAGGAGAAGAAGAAGAAGGGTTGTTGCGAAATGAGGGAAGAAACGGTAGAAAAGCAACTCCAAATGTAATTAAAATGTCTTATTTTAATGCTTTCTTTAAGGAAAACATGCATATGTATGATTAATTATGTATAAGAAAATGTACATTTTATGTTATGTGTATAAGAAATAAAACTGACAAACTTTTCCAAAAAGAGAGAGAGAGAGAGAAAGAGAGAGAGAGAGAGTATGTGTGAGATAACAGGTTAATCTCCAAAATAATGAATTGGAAAATTTATATATTAAATGATAGTATGGAAACTGCTTGGATAGAACAAAAATGCATTTTAAATGCATTGTAAGCCGCCTTGAGTCTTCGGAGAAAGGCGGCATACAAGTTAAACAAATAAATAAATAATACAAGTTAAACAAATAAAAGAATTATATTGGAAATATCATACAGTTGAAGTTATGCCAATGGTAAATATAGCAAAGGTGTGAAAATGCATCATGGATAAACAATGCAAGAAATGGTGGCTCAGAAAATAAGGATGAAAATTATCACATAATGTGTATTTAAACTAAAGTTAATTGTATGTTGTCAAAATGAGAAGAAAAAAATAAGATTAAAAGAGGCAAAGAAAATACAGAATGATTTTAATTAAAATAAAGAACTATTTTGGAAGCAGATGAAGAGGACTAATTGAACAAAAAGCATCCAGCAGAGAAAATGGAATACAATTGATTGTCTGGAATAAAACTTAAAGACATATTGCTTGCTATTTTTGCCAAAATGACTAGTCCACATTGTGCTGCTGTCCTATCTCTTTTGTACATACGTGCAATGTCAGAAAACATGTACAAAAGAGGAGAGGCTTGCAGCCTCTTTCTTCAGAAACCACTTCCTTGAAATAAAGGAATGCTGGAATTGAAATATATGCAATATATGGTAGAATTCAAGGGGAAAAATAATAGAATCATAGATTTGGAAGGGACATAAAAGATCATGAAGTACAACTCTTTGCACATTGCAGGATTCACTCTACCATCCCCGAAATAAAACTATCCAGTCTAAAAACCTCTGGTGTATGGGAAAAACTGACTCCCTAGGCAAGTTATTTCACTGATTGACTACTCTGTCAAGAGGTTCTTTCCAGGGTCTAATATACATCTGTAGGATATGAGAAAATTCAAAAATAAAAGAGTGTGTAGGTATATAGGTTAGAAATGCATATAAGTGCAGATTCAATTTTGATCAGGCAGAGGGTTGGACTGGATGACCTGCAGGTTCCCTTCCAGCTCTGCTACTCTGTTAAATTTGTTAGACATTATTCTGCTTTAAGATAGTTGGAGAACATGCTGAAAGCATATCAATATGTAACAATGTTGTGTTAGAATAGATCTTCTTTTGTTTGAGGCCAGTTAAAAAGAGGCCCACTCTTTAGTGCCAAGCCAATAGAGATAAGAAAGAGCCATGCTTGCAAAATATTGTTATGGGTAGTTATAGTTATACATGTTGATGAACATGTAATTAGAGAAAGAGATGATGTTCTCTCTAAAAGGCGCTTTGGATTAGCCGTGATCGGTCACTGGATGCGATGTAGGAGGGGCATGGGTGGTGGGGGGGGCGTTGCGATAGGGAACTATAAAATGTAATGCTTTTGAAACTTTAGGTGTGGCTTCCTGGCTCAAACTCCTTGTTGAGATCTGCTGGGATACTACCCTATTTTGCAAAACTGTTTTTATTATTTTCTTTTAATAAAGTCTCTGTTTTCATCGACCCATGCTTGTTGGTTGAATTCATTTCCAACACATCTACAGCTGAAATTTTAGACCATTTGTTTTGGTCAAGTCCTCTGGAATAAGTGAAATAAGTGCAAACCTTCTATCGTGAACACGGTGGGTTCTAAATTTTTTTACTACCAGTTCTGTGGGTGTGGCTTATTTTGTGGGCATGGCTTGTGGGAGGTAATGTAACTGGGTGGGTGTGGCCAACTTTTTTTTTTACTTTTAAAAGCATTTTTTTCTACAACCTTAAGAGGTTGCAGAAAAAAATGCAAAAAAACATCCATAGATACACTCAGAATACATTTAATCGCCCGCCCTTCT